AGAGGAGCAGGAAGGCTGACGTTTCGGGCCTAGACCCTTCTTCAGAAATTCTTCAGCCTTCCTGCTCCTCTGATGCTGCTTGGCCTGCTGTGTTCATCCAGCTCGACACCTTGTTATCTCAGATTCTCCAGCATCTGCAGTTCCTACTATCTCTGATTTTATTGTGCGGTCCATCTCTGCAGCTGCCTGGGGCCTAAGCTCTAAAACTTTCTGTCCAAATCTTTTATTCATCCGCAAGACATAGGCATTGTGGTGAGGCCAGCATTTGCTGCTAATCCCTAATTGCCTTGGAGAAGTTGATAGTGAGTCACCTTCTTGAATACAGTGGCTTGCTGAATCACGAGCAGAAATTGCTGGAAAAATTCAGCAGGTCTGGCAGGAAACAGAGTTAATGTTTTGAATCAGTGACCCCTCTTCAGAACAGCCATGTGGTGGCTAGTAATGATTAGTGTCCCATGTTAAAACCCTCGAGAGAGTTCAAAGGAGATTTACTAGAATGATACAAGGAATGAGGGATTTCGGACACAAGGAAAGACTAGACAGATTGGGCTTATTCTCCTTGGAGCAGAGAAGATTAAAAGGGGGCCTTATTGAGGTGTTTAAAATTATGAACAATTTTGACAGGGTAAAGAAGGATATTCTGTTTCCACGAGTTGGTATGTCAGTAATTAGGGGTCACAATTTCAAGATTATCAGTGAGAGAGCTAGGAGTGAGCTGAGGGAAACTTGTTAGGATTGGAGAGTTGTTAGGATTTGGAATGCACTGCCTGGGAGAGTGATGGAGGTAGATTCCACAGGAGGTTTAAAAAGCGAGCTGGATGTAAATTTGGAAGTGATTGCGTTCGAGAGCTTTGGAGATAGGGCTGGAGAGTGGGACTAGCTGGGTAGCTCTTTCAGAAGCTAGTACAGACACGATGGGCTGAGTGGCCTCCTTCTGTGCTGTAACATTCTATGATTAGTTCAGTAACATAACTGCACTGTTTCCATACCGTACCCACAAAGTGGTCATGCATTTACATTGAAAATGCTTCACACTATATTGATTACCTGCCACCATGTGGCTAGCATCCACTCCTGCACATCATGACGTCCATTAAACTTAAGAACCAAGATTAAGTTCATTTGTTTGAGCTTCACAGAAGCTCAGACTTTCCTGAGAGCTCATTCTCTGTCTCCCTTAAACCTTGTTCCAGGAAAAGACAAGATTCCCATACGAGTAAACTCAGACATTGCACCCTCGGAATGCATTCTGCTAATTTTAACATGGCGGGTTTGGCATGAATAAATGTGGAGTTTTACAAATTCGTCAGGAAATGTCAGGCTTTGGTGTACATCTGCAACCTATTTTGTAAAAATAGCACGATTACCAGTTCCAGGCATTAACCTATATATTGTCCATTCAGTGCACTTTTCTGGGAGTTTATAAAAGTCATGAACATAGTTCCATATGTGTGGAGGGTTGATGAAGAACAGCACAGTGAGATGTACCATGTTTCCTTTGCCGTGTATGACTTCTTGACTCCAGAAGTGACCAGCAAGGATTGGTACTGGGTTCACTGCTTAATGTCATTTATATAAAAATGATTTGGATGTGAACGTAGGAGGTATGGTTAATACGTTTGCAGGTAACATCAAAATTGGAGGTGTAGTGGACACTGAAGAATATTATCTCAGAGTACAACGGGACCTTGATCAGATGGGCCAGTGGGCTGAGGAGTGGCAGGTGGAGTTCAATCTAGATAAATGTGAGGGGTTGCAGGACTTATACACTTAATGGTAAGGTCCTGGGGTGTGTTGCTGAACAAAGAGGCCCTTAAATGCAAGTTCATAGTTCCTTGAAAGTGGAGTCCCAGGTAGACAGGATAGTGAAGAAGGCGTTTGGTACGCTTGCCTTTATTGCTCAATGCATTGAGTACAGGAGTTGGGAGGTCATGTTGTGGCTGTACCGGACATTGGTGAGGCCACTGTTGGAATGTTACATTCAATTCTGGTCTCTCTGCTACAGGAAAGATGTTGTTCAGCTTGAAAGAGTTCGAAAAAATTTACAAGGATGTTGCCAGGGTTGGAGGGTTTGAGCTATAGGGAGAAGCTGAATAGGCTGGGGCTATTTTCCCTGGAACATTGAAGGCTGAGAGGTATAGAGATTTATAAAATCATGAGGGGCATGGATAGGATAAATAAT